GATACTTCAGCCCATGCCAGAAAATTGTCTGTGCAGGTCCACGTCTTAGTATAGCCCCCATATAACGGTACCCCCCATATTCGGTATTTTGACGATTTTAGCTACATTATAAACAGATTTTTCTTCAAGTTTCGCATTTAAATATTATAATAATTTATGACAAAAGTTGCCTATGCAGGCCCACGTCGTCGTATAAGCATTCGGTATTTTTAAGATTTTAACAGAATTTTTAACGGTTTTTTTTGGAAATTGCCAAATTTGTACCAAATGGTGGAGGGTATTAAAAGTTCGGCCCGGCCGAACTTACAGCTTTTTTACTTGTTATTAACTGATTGAGATAAAATTTTCCAAACAATATTTGTTTGGCTCAAGGACGAACCCCATTGAAATTGGTGAGAATCGGTTCAAATATAGATATAACTCCCATATATATCTTCAACCGATTTCGGGATATTTGTCCACCAAATAGCCAATATCAGTCCAAATGACCTGATTTTTGTCACATCCAACCGAATTCAATCTAGAAGCATGTACATCGAATTCGGAGAAAATCAGTTCAGATATAGCTGTAGCTCCCACATATAGGTTTCATCCGATTTGTTTTTCAATTCCCCTACATTCATAATTTGCATCCCACAAGAATGATGCGTGGTATCAGATATAGCCTAGAAATACCTCTGCCAAATTGTATCAAGATCAGTTCAGATTTGGATATAGCTCCCATATATAGCTTCAACTAATTTCGGGTTAATTGTGCACCAAGGAAGTCAAGGAAGTGGGCGGAATAAAACAGCAACATCAGCAGAAATGGTTCGAAAAGTAAAGAAGCGACTTGTTCGAAACACGTGTCGCAATGGCCGAAAAATGGCTCGTGAGCTGAACATATCGCAATATTCTATTCGGCAATATAAGGCAAAGAGCTAAAGAGTTGCTCCGCTTGGCCGAAAGTGTTGGCCACCAGAACTTAAGCGCCAGCCATGGTGATGGAGTAGGCCGCCATAACAGCCGATGGTCGATCTCCGCTCGTATTAATCGACCGTGGCTCGGAATAAATGCCGAATATTATCGCGAAAATATTCTGGAGGGTGTATTAAAGCCTTGGGCGCGCAAACAGTTTGGCCGCAGACCTTGGACATTCCAACCGGACTCAGCACAATCGCACTCAGCACGCGCCACCCAAGAATGGTTATAAAATGAGATTCCTCACTTCATTTCCAGTGCACAGTGGCCACCAAAATCTCCGGATAACAATCCGTTGGACTATTGCGTTTGGAGTATTTTGGAAAGCAAGGTTGACACTCAAGAATACCAAAAGTATCGATCAAACAAGCACCTTACCGGGAATGGGCCAAAATACCGCAGAGCAACATTCGGGCAGCGTGTGACGGTTTCATTGGCCGTTTGAAGGCCATAATTCGTAGCGAAGGTGACCAATTCGAACAAATCTAAAATTATTTTAAAATTTGATCCTATTTCCGACACTTTTTTCATTCAATAAAATTAAAAAAAAAACTGTAAAAATTATGGCGCATAACTTTGTTGCAGTTTTTTATCTCACCCTGTATATTATTAGTTTGGCCCCTAATGCTCGCCTTCAAAGGATAAAATTTAAATATTGATTTACTATAAATCTATTTTATATATATTTCCAATATTTAATAATTAAGTAATTAATATATTGTTGGAAATGTATTAAATTCAGTTATCTCAAATTAAATCTCTCTGCTTTATTATCAAATTTATTTTAAACACACAAATTAATGCTAATTGAAAATGTATTTTATTAGCACCACGAATTATACAAAACACTTTCTTGAAATATAAATTCAAGCCTATTCAGGTATCTCTACCCCATTGACAACTTAACTATATTGGCCAATCTTTTTTTTTTTTAATTTATTCAACGAATTAAGCAGCTTGAATACCCGACCTAAGACAACACATCAGTGACAGCTTGATAATAAGATGATAAATAAATAAATGTTATTGGGTGTTATTTATTTAGTTATTATGTCGATGATTTAACATAATTTAATCATAAATTAAAATAAAAATGTTACGTTTGTCAAACACATTAATAAGTTGTAGAAAATATATATTTAAATAAATAGTAATTAGGTATATCATAGTTTTTTTTTTTTTTTTTTTTTTTTTTTTTTTTTGAAATTTTAGTTTTGTGCTTTGATATTTTTTTAAATCAATCAAAATTTATAATTTTAAATTAAAATGATTTTTTAGCCCTAGCAGTCGATTTTATAAAGTGGTGCTAAAGTAAACTTCAGTTTTTTCGGCTGTAATTTAACAAGATATAAAAACGTTGATTCTTTTTATTATACCCTACACCGCAAGGTGGTCAGGGTATTATGTCTTGGTGCATTTGTTTGTAACAGGCAAAAGGAAACGAGATAGACCCATAGTTCCTTTTGGTGATCTGCATAGAATCACATTCTGAGTCGATTTATGCATGTCCGTCCATCTTTCCATGTATTTTTGTGAACAAAGTACAGGTCGCATTTATTGCCCGTTACAGATGAAAATTTGCACAAATCATTTATTTGACCCACGGACGAAGCCTATTGAAATTGGAGATAATCGGTCCAAATTTAGATATAGCTCCCATAAATATCTTCGTCCGATTTGCCTTTTATTTTGCACCAAACGTGTAATATTAGCCCAACTGGGATGGAATTTGACACTTACGACCAAAGTGAAACAAGAAACGAGTTTGTCAAATTTGCTGAAAATCGGTTCAGGTATAGCTATAGCTCTCATATATAATGTATATATATAATGTTATAATGCTATAGCTCTCATTTTTATATCCTCTATGGAAGGTATATAAACTTTGAAACTATGGAGGGTATATAAATTTGTCATTCCGTTTGTAACTCCTCGAAATACTCATGTCAGACCCAACAAAGTATATATATTCTTGATCAGCGTAAAATTCTAAGTCGGTTTAGAAATGTCCGTCTGTCTGTCCGCCTGTCTTTTGTAATCACGATATCTTTCGAACGAATTGAGATAGAAGGCTAAAATTTTGCACACATGTTTATTTTTACAGTAGGCAGGTTAAGTTCGTAAATGGGCCATGTAGGTCCACGTTTTCATATAGCCCCCAAATAACGGTAAATCCCGATATTCGACATTTTGATGATTTCAGCGAAGTTCGAAATGGATACTACAGCCTAAGACAGACAATTTCAAATTACGTATTTAGAGCTCGTAATGGAAACTACAGTCTGTGACAGGAAATTGTCTATGCAGGTCCAGGTCTTCGTATAGGCCCCATATATCAGTACCTCCCCATATTCGGTATTTTGACGATTTTAGGTACAATACTTACCGAAATTGTTTGAGATGTTGTATTTGAAGTTCGTAATGGATGCCTCAGCCTGTGACAGAAAAAAGTCAATGCTGGTCCTGGTCTTTGAACAGCTCCCATATAACGGTACCTCCCTATGTACGATATTTTTATGATTTTAGCTACTTTATTGACCGTTTATTTCAACTTTCGAATTTGAATGTGGTAATGGCTTATGACAAACAATGCCTATGTAGGTCCACGTCGTATACACCCCAATATAACTACTATCTTCACCCCAATATAACTACTATCTTCGGTATTTTAAAAATTGTAACAGCATTTTTTAAGGATTTTATTTTTTGAAAATTTCCAAATTGGTTCCAAATGCTGGAGGGAGTTACTGCATTTTAACTTGTTGTTATATATGTTCTCCACAGCCGTAATATGCAATCCGTAACAACGACATTCGGGGGAATATATAAAAAACTGCTCAGAAATACCTTTGCCAAATTTTATAGAGATAGGTTCGTATATGGATATACACCACATGGGTAATAAAAGCTCGAATCAAAAAGGCACAAATGCATCGGAGAATTTAGTAAACATCGATCTTGAGGAGAATATTCGCTTCATATATCAGTCCTTTTGGACTTTAAATTATAACTATGATCATAGTTGGTATGATTAAATTCTCACAAATTCTCCATAAAAACTTTTATTTGTTATGTGAAGCTTTACTAAATATGCAAAGTGGTGTAGTCGGCGCCGCACGGTTTTAAAATTAATCAAACACACAGTTTATTGTCATTTGATCTTGCTGGCCAGTGCAAATAGCCGAAACGGGAGATTAGGCTCCCGGGAAATGAATCGATTGTGGCATGTGCAGTGTGTGCCGTTGCACCGTCCGGTTTCAACCACATGTTTTCCAATCCCAACTCGTCAAGTTGCGGCAAAAAGAAGTCGCTGATCACCATTCACAGCAACCATTTGGCCCGAATACAAACAGTTTACGAACTTTTCGATACCAAAGATCTCATTATCGATAAATTGAAAATGTAAGGCCACTTTCATACTTCAGCTTTAATAAAAATTGGACTATAGACTTCCCAAATTATCGTTGTCTCAATCATCTAGGCTTTCTTATCATCTAGTCCCATATAATATCACGACAAGTATAGAAGATTAGCATTCAGAGACTTTTTTAATTTTGGCTGTAACCATTTGAGCCATTTATGGAGCCAGTCTGTCTATTCTAGCCATTTAATACCAAGTGAATATTATGTGGTCTTCAAATTTTAGTATGAGTTTAACTACGCAATTCGAAATTGGAATCGATTGGCTGAGATGAATAAAAATAACTGGATTGTCTATATAGACCATGAGATAGATACAATAATAACGGATCACAATTACAGGAAGAATGCAAAAAATCCCAATTGCCAGCACAATTGCTCTGAATATCTGAAATCGACAATGGAGATCGAAAATATTCCATATTGTTTAATCGAGACCGTTAAACGTGTACCGGGCAAACAATCGAAAATGCATTTATTTCTTCGATTTGATTACAAACGTTGATTCTAATTTATAAAGCCATTACCAGGCACGCATGCGCAATGAACGAAGTCTAGTATTCTATCCTGTACCGGTTTCAATACTTACCATGTCAATGTGATAAATGTTAACCGATTCGTTCTATACAAATTCGAGTTGACACCTTTAGAAGATTTTTCGATTTTCGTATAAAAGTCAAGAGATTACTGGATTACGGCATCAGTTAGCAGATATTTAATCGTTAGATCGATAGCAGTCCCACAGAGGAAGATACTCCTGAAATAAAATGGTAAGTTTACAATATTTTATTGTAAGATGTAACTTAATCTGATATATTTTTAGAAAACCCTTATAATTTGCATTGTTGCTTTGCTGTCCGTCTCCTCGACTCATGGCATAAGCAATCAATACTTGCCTCCACTTGAGGGTAGAGCCTCCAGTATTTCAGCTGTGAAAGCTGTTCCGGTCAAAACGAGCTTTGTTCAAGCAGCCTCGGCACCAGCCGTACATTATGCCGCTCCTGCTGCTATTTCTCATGGTCATGGTGGTAGTTTCTCGTCTGGCAGCCATTCGGGAGGTTTCACTCAGGCTGCATCTGCACCAGCACCACGACATGCAGCCCCTGCTCCCCACTACTCGGCTCCTGCTGCAACATATCATGTAGCATCTGCTCCAGCTGCTCACTACTCCGCTCCCGTTGTAACCCATCACCATGTAGCAGCATCTGCGCCAGTTCCTCATTATTCAGCTCCTGCTGCAGCTCCTCATTATGCTGCACCAGCAGCATCAGCCCCAGTTGCCCACTATGCTGCTCCTGCCGCTGTGGCACCAGCACCACGACATGTCGCTCCAGCTCCTCATTACGCTGCTCCAGCAGCTTCTGCACCAGCTCCCCATTATGCCGCACCCGCAGCAATTTCAAATCCTGCACCACATCGTTTCTCGTCTGCAGCTAGTCCTCAGGTTAGTGTAACCTTTATTCAAGCTGCATCTGCACCAAAACAACACGTTGCCCATGGCCATGGTGGTGGTCACTCCGCAGGATTTGTTCAAGCTCCCTCTGCACCAGCACCTCGATATGCTGCCCCTGCTGCCGTTTCTCCAGCTCCTCATTTCTCTGCTCCAGCTGCGGTACATGGCCACAGCGGTGGTCACTCTACCGGTTTTGTGCAAGCTGCTCCAGCTCCTCGTCATGCAGCTCCAGCTTTCCACTACTCTGCTCCCGCTGCAACATATCATCATGCAGCATCTGCTCCAGCTCCTCACTATTCCGCTCCAGCTGTAACACATCACCATGCAGCATCTGCTCCAGCTCCAGCTCCACGCTACTCAGCTCCAGCTGCTGGATTTGGTAGTGCCCATGCTGCTTCAGCTCCAGCTGTCAGTTATGCGGCTCCAGCCATTCACGACAACGGCTATCACGGCAATGAAGTTGGCACCAAATACGCGGCTAATGGTGGCTATTTGATTTTGTAAATCATTTTATGTAAGAAATATACGAGCTAGACATAGTAATAAAATTCCAAATATTGTAACAAAAATTGTCAAAGGATTTTGGTGATCTTAGTTTCTGAGGGGGGGAAGAAGCTCCGTTTACAAAAAAAAAATAATAATGGTAACAAGTGTAGTAAGCTCGGACGGGCCTAACTTTAAATACCCTTCAACATTTGGAATGATCTTGAAAATTAATAAAAACCAGTAAAGAAAGTCTTAAAGGCGGGCGGAGCCGACTTTATGATACCATACCACTTTGATAATTTAGTAGAGCCCCATAAAACAATTAATAGTTTTTATGGGAGAATTCAATCATATACGCTATGATTATAATTATATTTTAAAGTTCAAAGAACTAAATATGCCGAAGCATTTGTATCTTTTAAATTCGGACTTGTATGGCCCATTTGGTGCACAATTAATTTGAAATCGGATAAAGATATATATGGGAGCTATATCCAAATTTGAACCGATCTCGATCAAATTTGGCAAAGATATTTCTGAGCTGTATTTTATATATGTCCGTGAATATCCCTGTTACGGGGTGCATATTACGGATGCGGAGGACAAAAATAACAAATCGAATGAACAATATATGTATATGGGAGCTATAGCTATATGTGAACCGATTTCGATCAAATTTGGCTTACTTATTTTCAGGCTTAATTTGGCTGTATGCGCAAAATTCCATAATATTCGGGCTGATATTACACGTTTGGTGCACAATAAAAGGCAAATCGGACGAAGATATATATGGGAGCTATATCCAAATCTGAACCAATCTCGATAAAATTTGGCACAGATATTTCTGAGCTGTATTTCATATATTTCCCTGAATATCGTTGTTACGGAGTGCATATTACGGCTGTGGGTAACAAATATAACAATTCGGATGAACACTATATATGGGAGCTATAGCTATATCTGAACGAATCTTCACCAAATTTGACGTACTAGCTTTTAGACTCAATTCGGTCGTAAGTGCCAAATTTCATCTCATTTGGACAAATATTAAACGTTTGGTGCACAATAAAATGTAAATCGGACGAAGTTATATATGGGAGCTATATCCAAATCGGAATCGATCTTGATAAAATCTAGCAAATGCATTACTGAGCTGTATTTCATATATTTCCCTGAATATCCTTGCTACGGAGTGCATATTGAGGATGCGGAGGACAAAAATAACAAATCGGATGAAAAATATATATGGGAGCTATAGCTATATCTGACCCAATTTCGATCAAATTTGGCTTACTTACAGGCCTAATTTGATTGTATGTGCAAAATTCCATACTATTCGGGCTGATATTACACGTTTGGTGCACAGTAAAAGGCAAATCGGACGAAGATATATATGGGAGCTATATCTAAATATTGACCGATTAACTCGTCCTTGGGTCAAACAAATGATTTGTGCAAAATTTCATTTGGATATGGCAATAAATGCGAACTGGACAAACGGACGGACCGACATGCATAAATCGACTCAGAATGTGATTCTATGGAGATCATCAAAAGGAACTATGGGTCTATCTCGTTTCCTTTTGCCTGTTACAAACAAATTCACAAAGACATAATACCCTGACCACCTTGTGGTGTAGGGTATACAAATTAAGGCGTTTGACTTTGTTGCAGTTTTTTATCTCACCCTGTATATGGGAGCTATATCTGTATCGATTCTTTAATGTGCTTGCTTCTAGACTAAATTCAGTCCGATGTGACAAAATTCAGGTCATTTGTTCTGATACTGGTCATTTAGTGCACACTTAATCCGAAATCGGTTGAAGATATATATACGGGAGCTGTACCTAAATTTGAACCGATTCTCACCAATTTCAATAGGGTTCGTCCTTGGGCCAAACAAATATCGTTTGTAAAATTTCATTTCAATCGGATAATAAATGCGACCTGCATTTTTTTCACAAAAATACATGGACAGACGGACTGACTGACATGCATTTGACTCAGAAAATGATTCTATGAAGATCCTCAAAAGTAACTATGGGCCTATCTCGCTTCCTTTTGGCTGTTACAAACAAATTCACAAAGACAAAGTATAAAAATCCAAATCCACATTACCCCACGGAATAAGGTTAGGTTGAAAAGAGGGTCGAAGCAATTCACCGCATGTCCTGTTGGGCATACACTTAAACCAGTATAGGCCTGTTGTGCGCTCTAGACTAAGAGTTTTTGAAGAAGGTGGGCAATTTACTTTCTGTTATATTTGAAATTCAGTTGCCTTTATGAAATTTCTTAACTGTCTTATATCATTTACCATGGTCTGATTAAGGTCTGGTATGGAGTCGTTCCCTTAGGATTGGGATCTGATATTTACAAACGATGGGCATTGGCAGAGAAAATATTCCAATTCTCCACGAAATTAGTATGTAGAGTTCGTAATGGGTACTATCTTCTGTGACAGAATATTGTCTATACAGGAGTAGCTCCTCAATAATTGATGATTTTTATTTCTGAAACTGGTTTTGTTCTATTTTCCAATGCTACTTGCAAGCAAATAGGCAAATGTTTTAATTTCAAAACGACGATAACGTCAATAACAAATTTGTCTACAAATCTAATAGAAACCTGAATAATAAATTAAAAGAAGTGGTATCATTGAACCTGCTAAAATACACCTTAAATTAATTTAGTGCCAAATAAAATTTGTTGGTGCAATTTAAGTATTTCAGAATTAATATATTTTTGTATTTTTAAATTTATCACTTTCATGGACAGAAAGAATGTCATTGGAACAGTGAAAGCTTTTATATATAAAACTATTTGTTAAATAAGCGACATTTTGGCAGGCATAGCATCACTTTCTAGGTTTTAAGATAACACCAACAATTTATTTATTGCATTAGGGCCCTGCAAAAACCATTACAAATTGGATAATCCATTATTTGCAAAAGAACATGTCACTAGATATATGTAGTTACTTCTTGACCAGAAATATGTAATTATCCTTGTGGCTATTAAGGGTTAGAAAGTTGAGTAATTTCCTCGTTCGATGTAATTTAAGCTTAGAATCGGACACAAAAACATAAGAATTACATTGGGAAATCGAAAATACAAAAAAATGTTTGAATTTAAATAGAAAACTTGTATTACAAGTATTTTTTGTAAAAATACATTATCGCAGGTTAGTTTTAAAAAACTTGAAATGATATTGAAATCATTTCTCGTTAAGTTCATTAGTTCGACGTTTTAAACCTAACAAGAAACACAGTAATAAGCTATCATATAACGTGTTAATCAAATGATTGATGAAATAAATTTCTGACGTCGTCTGAAAGTGGATACATTTTTTAAATTTTTTTCATAAACAGGTTCATACTTTTACTTTCATTAGCTAAAATGTATACATGCATTACGAGACGACATAAAAATATGACGTCGTTAATATAAATGTACCCTATATGAAAAACAATTAAAGAAAGTCTTAAAGTCGGGCGGGGCCGATTTTATGATATCCTACACCACTTTGCTAATTTAGTAGAGCTCCACATAACAATTAAAAGTTTTTATGGGAGAATTCAATCATACACGCTATGATTATAATTATAATTTAAATTTTAAAGGACTAAATAGACCGAAGCATTTGTATCTTTTAAATTCGGAATTGTATTGCCCATTTGATATATATGGGAGCTATATCCAAATCTAAACCAATCTTGATAAAATTTGGCAAGGATATTTCTGCGCTGTATTTCATATATTTCCCTGAATATCGTTCTTACGGAGTGCATATTACGGCTGTGGGTAACAGATATAACAAATCGGATGAACAATATATATGGGAGCTTTAGCTATGTCTGAACCGATCTTCACCAAATTTGACATACTAGCTTCTCGACTCAATTCGGTCGTAAATGCCAAATTTCATCCCATTTGGGCAAATATTAGACGTTTGGTGCACAATAAAAAGTAAATCGGACGAAGTTATATATGGGAGATATATCCAAATCCGAACCGATCTCGATAAAATTAAGCAAAGGTATTTCTGAGCTGCATTTGATATATTTCCCCAAATATTGTTGTTGTTGTTGCATATTACGGCTGCGGAGGACTAAAATAACAAATAGGATGAACAATATATATTGGAGCTATAGCTATATCTGAACCGATTTCGATAAAATTTGGCATACTTATTTTCAGGCCTAATTGTATGGTTGTATAGTTGTATGTGCAAAATTCCATACTATTCGGGCTGATATTACACGTTTGGTGCACAATAAATGGCAAATCGGACGAAGATATTTATGGGAGCTATATCTAAATTTTTACCGATTATATCCAATTTCTATAGGATTCGTCCTTGGGCCAAACAAATCTTGTTTGGAAAATTTCATCTCAATCGGATAATAAATGCGACCTGCATTTTGTTCACAAGAATACATGGACAGACGAGCGGACAGACGGACTGACATGCATAAATCAACTCAGAAAGTGATTCTATGCAGATCATCAAAAGGAAATATGGGTCTATCTCGTTTCCTTTTGCCTGTTACAAACAAATGCACAAAGACATAATACCCTGACCACCTTGTGGTGTAGGGTATAAAAACAACAGAGTAATACGCCATCATATAAAGTGTTCATCAAATGATTGATGAAATACATTTTTGACTGCGGCTAAATGACTGTAAATTCCTTTGGACACGTTTGACGTTAAGCAGGTTTATACTTTTACTTTCATCCGCTAAAACGTAAACATGCATTACGAGACATATAATTATCATATCGTTAATATAAATGTACCCTACATGAAGAGAATATTCGCTAACAAGTAAAGTTAATGGCACAAAGGAGACATAACTCTGACTATGTTTGTGAAATTCAATTGGAGGGTCATCGAGACAATCGAAAATCGAATCGAATCCTTTTTTGTTTGCAATCAAGATGTTTTATGTTTTTTATTAATCGCGTTACATGACAATCTGTAAAATGAGAGTTATTGGTATGTAATTGGAAC